ATATATATATATATATATATATATATATATATATATCATGTATTTGCTTTAGCAAACTTTTTTGGTAAACACATTACAAAAAATGCAGTCCTGCTTAATAGGAGGTCCTAGTTCGGCATGCGTTTATCGGTCAACCGTCAGAACATAAACGCTGATAAGCTTCGATACAATAGCGATAACAGTTCACTAGGCTGGTATAACTCAGAAAAACTTTAAAAATACTGGTTACTATTAGTTGCCTTTTTTTTTGCTGGGGGTAATGATAACAAGACATGCGACATGATTTCAAAGGTTGAAGTTCATTGAACACATATGCGTACCATAGTAAAATCTGTCAAATCGCTAACTTTAGCAGCGACAGGGCTTCAAAATAAAAAACGCATATTAGAAGTAATCTTGTAAATAATATAAACAAATTAGAGCAAAATAACAATCTCCTGTAAAAAATCCAAAAAAAAAGAAAAATTCAGACAAAATCTTAATACAAGACATTAAAAGAAATTTCAAAAAAAAATTTTTTCTTTTTTTTTTTCTAAATGTTCTGGCATCGAAGCAAAAATAACAGGAAAATTTCTCAAGCATTGTGATAGAATCGTTATAGCAAAAAAAAGGAGAAACTCAGAAAAGTTATCAATTTTCAGAATTAAATAAAAAAAAAAGCAAAAGTCTTTTTTCTCCCTATGTCTCATTTGCTATTATTTTCCAATCGAGTCAGATTACTGTAATTGGTGAAACCATAATCCATTTGAAGAGATACACTGTCCTACATCTCCATCATTGACCACCAGCATCGTCCCTTTTAATTGCAACGACCAGGTAGCAACAACAACAACGACTAGTTGCAGATTGACTGAATAGGATTAAAAAAAGAAAATAGCAGAAATAGGAAAAGTTTTCGCAAAATGGAATCTGAAACCCATCAACTCAAAATAACGAACATATCAAGGCTGCTGTATTATGGTAAGCGATAATCCGTGTAAGTGAGGTTAGGAAAAATAGTGAAGCTTGATCAGCACGGTCTTAGTCAAAGAGTAATCTTGGTAGAAACCGTGCAAAATAGAATGCAGACAGCAAACTTAAGAAAAAACAATATTGACAAGCGAAATTTGGTTTTTGAACATTTGAAAAACATGAAGAAAAGATGTAAAAAAAGAAAAAAAGAGACAAAGACTATGACTCGTTGCAGACACAGATTAATGAAAACAGAACTTTTAAACGTTAAAGAAGAAAAGAAAAGATTGGATGGTTAGGAGGAGAAAAATAGATGAAGAAGGAGAGCAATAAAAACAGTCGAAACAAAACCAAAAAAAATTCAAAAATTAAAGGATTGCAAAACAAACTGAAAGTCGTTATGAACTAATCGTTTTCTATTCTTTTTTTTTTCATAAAAACTCCGGTTGACTGTCTGAAAATGGGCAAAATCCGTCAACCAGGAAAAAGCTGAAAGGGTACAAAAAAAAATTACAACTTGTTCATATACCGATTTTTTTCCTTGTTTTACATGTCTTTACATCCTTTTTTTCTCACCGAGAATACTTTCAAACAATCAGAACTTCCAAATAGAGCCCAAAATGGGAAAAAAATAGGTGCACGAAAGTGAACAAAACGAAATGGAGCAAAAGCAGTTCAGCCCCTTTCTTTTCGCCTCTTATTCTCGCCTTATTTTCTGTGCCTTTCTTATCACACACTTTGTAAATTTTCAAACAAAAAAAAAAAAGCACAGAACCGGAAATGCAGTTAAGTTGACTTTGCAAAGAGCAAAACTGAATGAAAAACGCACAAAATTTTTTTTACTGCAACCAACGCAGATAACGATCAATCCAAATGGCACTTTTTTTTTTCTCAATAACATTGATAATAATGGAATTTGTTGGAACCCCTCCTCACTAGTCCTTCCCTTGCAGCTGTCATCCATCGTATCAAGTTATTTTATTTAGAAAACTGCATTTTTTTATTCGACAATTCTTTTGTCTGTATTGGTTTGTTGGCAATTAGCCATTTACCAGGGCACAAGCAGACACAAGCTGCATACATAGACATTGGAAGCCTTTACTGCTAATAACTTAACATCATCCGTGCAGATGGTTAGTTGTCGAAAGTCTGTTGAAAGTTTCAAAAATATAACAAACGATAAAGAGGAAAATACGGAGGAAGGCATGAGAGAAGGGGAATATGTTAAAATTTTTGGTTAAATGACCTGCTTAACCGAACGAATGTGAGATGTTAATTTCTCATTTTTTTATAACATTTTTTTGTGTGTACTCTCATCTCTTTAGTAATTGTGCTAAGTTAGCAAATAGCTAAAAAAAAATAAAAGCACAAAATTTATAGACTAATGACAAGAGCGGTGACGACAGCGACGATAGGCGAAAGAAAAACAAGAATTATAGAGCTCGATATGCAATTAGGGAATGGATGTTTGAAGGAAAGTATCTGATGTTGCGAGAAGCAGACAAATGAATAAATATATTAAGAGAAAATATGCATATTCACAACATGTAACCAACACTGATGGTTAATTTTAAACAGAAAATGAAAAAAAAAGAAAAAAAATCTGAACAAAATTTTTCTTCCCTTTCCTGCCGTTTTTTCATTTGCCAACAAATTACTTAAGCGGGATAAATTGGAAAAGATAGAGAAAAAATTTACCAAATATCAAGCAAAAAAAAAAAGGGAAAGAATGTTAAGTACTTATGTATTAACCATTCCAATTAGAAACAGAAAAAGGAGTTGCCAAAAAATCAAAAAAATTTTTTGAACCATATCAACCTTATCAAAGTCAGCAGATGAAATAAAAAAGAAATTGCATCAGCATTTTTGCTACAGCAATGCCTTTTTTTTTTGCTCTCCAAACAGTTTGCAACACCATAAAAATGCTAAAAATAAAAAAAAAATTACATCAAAACTGTAGCTTTTATTTTGATAGCATCGTATGAAAACAGTGCTATGGATAGCATCGTTATCGCCGCCATCACCTCCACCATTTCTATAGCACCATCAGCATCCACATAACCATTACCAACATCATCATTTTCATCATCATCAATTGCCTACATCAATAACGACAGCAATTGCTAAATTGCAAAAAATAAAAAAAAAAACCTAAGCTGCATATTCTACTACAAAAGCAAAAAAAACTTTTTTTTTTTTTTTTGAGCAACCTGTACAGGTGACTACAAATGTTGTTGTTTTATAGTCCTCTTCTCTGACACTGGTAAACAGACAAGATGCAAAATAGATACACTTTTTGAACGTGGATTTGTAGGCAAACTGCTGACACATAAAAAAACATTGACATCAAAAGATGGAAGTAGAAAGAAAGAAGTACAAAAAGACACTGAACAAAGTTGATAAAGAAAAAATTTAGTAAATTAATGGATATATGCCTCCACCTTCCTCCTCCTCCTCCCGCAGTATCAAGAATTAGTTTAATCAAAATTTTTTGGCTCTTTTTTCTTCTTTCTTTTTCAAAAGCTATCTATCTCATTTTTATTCTTAGTTACGGAAATGTAAAATGCTTATTCTTGCTGTTTTTGTTCATTCTTTCCTTTTTTTTTTTTAAAATGAATCAACAAATCACAGTCTTGTTCCTTGGCAAAGAACAAGATAAGCAAACTTTTGCTGCTGATGATATGGTATCAGCATCATCATTATCATCATCAAGATCATCATCATCACCATGATCTTCATGCTCATCATCATCAAAATAATAATCATCATCACCAACAAACATCAGCAGCCAGTATCAATGTCAATAGCAGAAATGGCAATAATATTGTCAAACAAAAAACACCAAACACTTCTTTTGCACTAGATAGTCTATGTCGAAATAAAAAAAAAAACAAATTTATGTTTGCTAGAAAACTGAATGACGTAACGCACAACATACTTAGAAAATATATATTTTTGTCAACT